CCCCAATACACCCCCACTAGCCTCAATGCCCCACGAGGTCTGATCCCAAACCCCTCACCCTCACTATGTGATGAAACTAATCAAAGGAGCCCAAACAAACTTATCTGTTGTGGCGGCAGAGACTGTTTCAAGACTATAATGATCTAACAGAAGATTTCTATACTGATTAATGCTAAGATCATTTTTATTTTTCCAATTTAAGAGTATGGTTTTCTTTGCGATGCATAAGGCAGTGGAAATCATATGAGAAGTGTTTTTCTCTATAGTGACATCACCTAAGACAGCCAATCAGCAAACAGACGGAGAGGGTGGAATATAACAATTCAAACACTTCGACAAATCTTCACATACCCGGACCSAAAACCTCTGGACAGGCGGACAGAGCCAGAGTGCATGGATATAATTGTCTGGCACATCGCCTGTACAATGGTAGCAGTTATTAGATGAAGTAAAACCCATGTTGAACATTCGCTGGCCTGTATAATGTGCTCTATAGAGGACTTTATATATATATTGTCAGGATTGTTCCAGATGGGTGTTTGTCTACATGGGAGTAGTGAAGACTTTGTCATTTTCAGAAATTCCCACCATGCTGCCAGAGATGAGCTAATATTAATGCTTTTAAAGCAAGCATGTCGTTTTATGTTTGCGCTTATAAATGGAAGATCTGAAATCCTAATATTATCACATAAAGTTTGTTCTATGTCCAGCCAAGTCTCGTCTATTTGATTAGGTTTTAACCACTTCGAAATGTATTGTAGCCTATTAGCTAGAATGTAGTGATAAATGTTTGGAAGCTCTAGCCCTCCGGTACCTTTAGTTTTCTGTAATGATTTTAGGCTAATAAGAGGAGTTTTGTTTTTCCACAGGAATTTAGAAATGAAGGAGTCCAGTGATTTAAACCAGTCAGGTGAAGGTTTATTTGGTATCATTGAGAATAAATAATTTATTCTCGGTCAAACCGTCATTTTAATAGAGGCAACTCTTCCCATGAGGGATATGGGTAGAGAACTCCACCTAGTAAGATCTTCTTCAATTTTCTTTAAAAGAGGAATGTGGTTTAACTTTATTAAATCTTCCAATCTAGAAAAAATATTAATACCCAGAAATTTAATATTTCCTAACTGTAGTTGTGTGTTTAGAGAATTGTAAAAAACACAGTTAATTGGAAGAACTGTAGATTTTAACCAATTTATAGAGTAGTCAGAAACTTTTGAAAAGGAGTTTATTAATTCAATAACTTGTAGGTAGTACTGGGTCTTTACCTGGTTTTAATAGGAGACTGATGTTGGCCGAATTCATTTGTAATGGAAGCCTGCCATGTTCCTCTGATTCCTGAAGCATTGTGAAAACTACTGGTGCCAGAATATTACAGAATTCTTTATAAAATTCTGCTGGGAACCCATCCGGACCTGGGGCTTTCTTGTTCGGCATGTTTTAACAGCTTCACATAATTCAGCTGATGTTATTGGAGAGTCTAGTTCTAAAGACTGGTTACTGGATAATTTTGGAAGTGACACTTTTTCCAAAAATTGTTCAATATCCTTATTTGAAGGGTTTATCTGCGGAGTGTATAAAACTCGGTAGAAGTCTCTGAAAACATTATTTACTTCTCCCTGATCATAAACTATACTCCCAGTTATGTCTTTAATACCAGATATAGTTGTTTTTTCTTTATTTATTTTAAGCTGGTTAGCTAAAAAAACTTCCTGATTTATTACTATCTCAAAATTTTCTAATCTAAGTCGTATTAAGAATTTACTTTTTTGTCTGTGTATTCATTTAACTTTAATTTTGCCTTCCGCATTTTTTGCTGTATTTTCTCGCCTTGCAAAGTTCCTAACAATTTGATGGCTTCCTCTAGATCGTGAATACGTTCATTTTCTTTTTTCTTTTTATTTGTTGAGTGTGATATTATCTTACCTCTCAAACTAAATCTTTTATTGCCTAAATGGGAACCCTGCATCAACCTAACAACAGTCTTAAAATATTTTTTGTTAAAATTAACAAGCGAAATCTACAGAACTCAAATGCAACATCCAAATGTTTATATTACACATTTTACTTATTAAATTTCTGACAAAAAAAACAAAAAAAAAAAAACATTTTCCAATCCATAAGAATAAATTTACAGCATTTAGATTTTTAAGCGATGGTTTAAAATGATTCAGTGACAGAGTGTTTTTAATTAATGCTTCCTCAAACCTCACGTTTATAAAAACAAAAAAATGGAGTTTAAAATGCATTAATTAATACAACTGGTGTAATTTTACTTTGATTGCAGCAGGGTAATCAGCAGGTGTATATTACCCCATCACAATATTAAATAATTGTATTTCTCATAAAATAAGCTTAAACAATTACTGCAGAACATGACAATTTTTTATATTCGATTACTTGATTAATCATCAGAATAATCGATAGATTAATCGATTACTAAAATAATCATTAGCTGCAGCCCTAAAGTCAAGTTCTGGTGGAATATGAGAGTAGGCTCTACACAGGCATTGAGCACAAGAGCAACTGACGCCCAGATCTACCATACCAGGCAAGATTCCAGGTGCAGGGTGATTAATGAAGCCCTAGAAACAAACCAGCATCTCATAAGTGTAAGATACTAACAGGAAAGGAATAAATGAAACACCATAACCAAGTGGCTGGTATAGTATAGTGTACAAAAACATCTGTGTAGAGTACGAACTGGAGACCACAAGATCAATGTGAGAATCACATCCCAAGGTGGTGGAGAATGACCAAGCTAAGATCCTGTGGGACTTCCAGTTTCAAACAGTAAACATGATAATGGCCAACCAATAAGATATTGTGAGAGGCAGCAGAGGACAACTGTTGTAATTGATATGACCATCCTCAATGATGGAAACATCAGGAAAAAGTAACAGAAGAAATTGGAGAAATACCAAGGGCTCAGGGATGAGCTAGAATGACCCAGGCAGGTGAAAGCAATGTAGTGCCTGTGGTCATTGGAGCACATCAGGGAAGTGATCCCCACACTGGAGAATTGACTCAAACAGGTACCTGGAGAAACATCTGACATCTCAGTCCAGAAAAGCACAGTCCTAGGAACAGCTAGGATTCTTCAAATAATCCTCAAGCTCCCAGGCCTCTGGTAAAGGACATGAGATTGAAATAAAGAGCCACCCACTGGGAAGCAAATGTTGTTGTAATCTGGCAAAATGACAGTAAAATCTAATTTATTCTACCCAAAGAAAACCAACGTATGCACAGGTAGAACATGCAAACTTCACACAGAATGGCTGTAGTCATGAGGCAAACAAGAAATCTTCTTGCTGAGATGTAACAGTGCTAACAACTGTTCTGCCATGCGGATATCTCCCTAGTTATTTGTAATAAGCATGGTTATTAGATATGGACATATTTTCTGAGCAGGAGGCAAACGATGGGTTGGATATGCCCAAGACAACTGTTTTTTTTAATTTTCTTTTTACATTTGCAATGACTCAGTGATTATTTTGAGACAAATTCTGTTGCACACATTTCTTTAAACATGTTCAACACTGCGAATGTCACAAGATAATCTGGAGACTCTCACAAATGTAGTTTGACTTGTCAAAGCCCAGTGAGATACTTTCTTTAAAAACATAATGCTGTCTTACCTCAGACCATTCCAAAGTGACCCACTTTGGTGGACAAGACTGGTTGTTGCAGGACTCTCTTTCAATAGGACGGTGAGTCAAACAATAGGTGTCTTTTAGTGTCTCCTCTTCAGCAAGGCCAATCTTTCTGATACACAAGACTGTCCTCTTCCTCATTCCACCATCACATGTCTTTCCGCACTCTGACCAGTCACCAATAAACCACCTGCCAGAGAAAAGCACCAAGGGTAACAACATAGCTGTAAAACTACTGTTGAAGGTTTGTTTACTATGTGAATAAAACAAATACGATAAAAATGTTTTTAGAACTTAAGTGATTTTATCATTTCAAGACAATGAGTGGAAAAGGAAACTTTTTAAAGGAAAACCTTTCTTGGTAGTAACGACTGAAAAACTGAGCATTGATTGTTTTGTCAATCTCACAATTATTTCTATGAAGTAAAATGTAAAACACTCATATGAATAAAGGTCTAGAATTCCTCAAAGAATGAGACATCACCTTCCATTTTACATGCCATAATTTTAAACTAAAATGATCTTGTGTTGAGAAATGATAACGTTGTGGCCATTTTCATTATTGAAAAATAGCACTGAGCGTGATCTTACAACATGGCAGGCTCAGAGTATGTGTTCTGAATGACTCAGCTACTACCACACCAATAGCTGTAATATTGAATAGCTCATAGTAAGTGTTTTCTAATATATTCTAATGTAAGGCCATCTAGCTGTGGTAGCCATTCTGAATTGAGTAGATCCAACAGGCTTTTATTGTAGATGAACACCCAATAATAAATTCCTTAAAAAATCATTAAAACTCATCTAGTTGTCCATGAAATGTTTAGTACAAATTGACATATGAGCATGCACATGAACACACACAAGGTCAAAAACATTTTTGCTTTTGTCTTTCAAATGCAGATAATAAAAAAAGTAGAATAGTTCCTGGAGAAACTGTAAAAGGGCTTGCCATGTGCTGTCCAATTTAATTAAAAATTGGGATTTACTTTTTGTTGGAGATCACTGTGATCTACAACCATTTCCAAATTTGAGCTATATATGATAAAAATGGCTGAGTTATGATCAATTTAGTGTTTTAGTTATGACTGCCGTCTTGGATTTTTGATTTAGCTTCAATATGTGATGTGATCCCTCTTAGCTACCACCATACCAAATTTTAACCAACCAAATTTTTATATGGGTAAGTTATTGCAGTTTCAAATTAGTTCCAGTGGCCATCTTGAATTTTTATTTAGCATTCAGAATTTGTTAAAGCTTCTTATTGGATACTACTTTACCAGTTTTCAGCTCTGTTAGTCTTAAAATGGCAGAATTATAGCATTTTATTAAAATGGCATTAGCACTAAGCTTAAACTTGTGAATATAACTCAGAGTGTGTTGCATACACTCTCAGCTACCAACTCACCAAATTTCAGCTTTGTATGTTTTAAAACTGCTGAGCAATCTGGGTGTCATTTGAACTGCGGAAACTCCCTCCTTGTTTTGTGACTGTCATAGTCTGCTTTAGTTTTCTAGTGTTTCAGTGTTCCCCTGTGTATCTCTGCCCTGCTCCAGCCCCGCCAATGTTCACCTGTTTCCTCTTATATCTCCTCCAGGTATTTCTTGTTGTCCTTAATTAGTTTGCCTTTGTATTCTGTGTCCTGTCCTCAGTGTTTGTCGTTTCATTGTTGCCTGTTCCTGTTCTGTCTGCGTGCCCGTGAGTTTTGCCTCTGTTATCTCCTGACTAGTGAGTGTTTTGAGCTGCCTCGCCAGCCTTTTTGTTTGCTATAATAAAGCCTTTTTGTTGCATTTTTGAACTTTGCCTGCGCCCTGGGTTTTTTCCTGACCAGTCCTGTCTGAATGATCCGATCAAGTGCCCAAGCCTGCATGGAGTTCTGGTCTGCCTCTATATGAGGAGCATATTTCTACTCCACCACCCACCAAAGCTAAGCTGGACTCTGAGACTATGCTGGATGAGTTGAAGCAGATGCAGGGATAGCTGTCTGCTCTTCTCTCAAGGACTCCCCTTTGAGAGCAGCGGTTCCTGGTGGTTCTGTTGCCCACCCTCCCACCTCTGTTTTTTTCCAATGCCCGAACTGGCTGTTTCTGCAACCAAGTCACCTGAGCCACCTAGGTCATCTGGATTACCTGAGTATGTTACTGTGTTTCCTGTGTCCGCTGAGTATCCTGAGTTGGCAGTTGCTGTTCCTGCTGAGTCCTCTGTCTCAGTTCCCAAGTTGGTGGCCTCAGTTCCTGAGTTGGCGGTCCCAGTGTCTCCTGAGTTGGTGGTCCCAGTGTCTCCTGAGTCGGCGGTCCTCGAGGTTCGTGGGTGAGCTGCCGGCACCGCCTTGACATTTGGGTCTGCTGCCGTCACCTCCACGTCTCCTGGATCATTGCCTCCTCTTCGCCTGGGTCATCGCCCATCGCCTCTTCATCACCTCTGTCGCCTGTTTTCGCCATCATTGACACACTGGCTCGGTAAACCTCCGCTGGCTCTTCGTCTGCTCCCGCCTCCTCCTGTGGCTCTTTATCTGCTCCTGCCTCCTCCTGTGGCTCTTTGCCTGCTCGCTCCTCCTCCTGTGGCTCTTCGTCTGCTCCCGCCTCCTCCCATGGCTCTTCGTCTGCTCCTGCCTCCTCCCCTGGCTCCTTGCCTGCTCCTGCCTCCTCCCTTGGCTCCTCGTCTTCTCCAGTCTCTTCCCGTGGCTCCTCGTCTGATCCCGCCTCCTCCCGTGGCTCTTCGCCTGCTCCCGCCTCCTCCCGTGGCTCTTCACCTGCTCCCACTTCCTCCCGTGGCTCCTCACCTGCTCCCACCTCCTCCCGTGGCTCTTCATCTGCTCCCACCTCCTCTCTTGGCTCTTCGTCTGCTCCCGCCTCCTCCCGTGGCTCTTCGCCTGCTCCTGACTCCTCCTGTGGCTCTTCATCTGCTCTCGCCTCCTCCTGTGGCTCCTTGTCTGCTCCCACCACCTCCTGTGGCTCCTAGTCTGCTCCCGCCACCTCCTGTGTCTCCACATCTGTTCCTGCTGGGCCTCCTGTTCCTGCTGGGCCTCGCTTTGGATGGTCTCCTGGCCATCCTCCGGATCTCCTGCTCCGTGTTGGATGGTCTTTGGGCTGCCCCCTGAACTCTGTGTGTTGTGTCCTTGAGTTCCCTTGTGATGGTGTTTCTGTCCAATGCCTCTCCTTTTTTGATGTTGGGAGCCGTCGTTGAGGGGGAGGCCCTGTCATGGTCTGCCTTAGCTTTCTAGTGTTTCAGTGTTCCCCTGTGTATCTCTGCCCTGCTCCAGCCCAGCCCATGTTCACCTGTTTCCTCTTATGTCTCCTCCAGGTGTTTCTTGTTGTCCTTAATTAGTTTGCCTTAATCTTAATATGTTGTCTTTGGGGTCCATTTTCAGAAAGTATAACATTTCCAAAAGGGATTCATGATTTTATTGCCCCTCATTGGAATTATTGTAATTCTTTGTATGGTGGCTTGGATAAATCATCTCTGTGTTGCTTACAGATTGTCCAGAATGCAGTAGCTCATCTTTTAACAGGTACTAAAAAACATGAACACATAACCCTGAATATTCGCTTCATCGCAGTCTCCCATCCTAAGCAAACAGTGGAGAGGAAAAACTCCCTGCTAATACGGAAGAAACCTCCAGCAGAACCAGGCTCAGGACAGGAGACCATCTGCCTCGACCGGCTGGGTTCCTGTTTACCTTTGAGTTGATTTTAAGATTTTACTGTTGGCTTTTAAAATTTCTAATGGTCTTGAAAGAAATTTTGTAACTGATCAACTGAATGAACTTTCTGATCATTGCAGCCATAAGATTTAAAACAGAGAATGAGAGTTGGTGTGTCATATCAATGTTCTTTCTGTCTTCATAAACAAAAGTTTGTTACGTTTAACGTCTGACGTAAAAAGACCTTCAGGGGTGTAACCAGGAAGAGACATTATGTTAAAAGGTTGAATCATCATGAAATGAGTTTTTTGTTAGTGCTTGCGTGCAGTCTCCTTAGATTCAGCCTAGGACAGTCTGGACTCTGTTTTCATCTTCAGATAAGACAAAGGTCATTTTACTCTGAGGTCCGCTGAGTGTGTGTTGTGTGCTGCTAGAGTTAATTGGAGTGAGAGACTGGAATAAAGCCTTTTTTAGAAGAGATTCAACTGGTTTTCTGCTATATTATTCAGACTTCCATTTATTGATCATGAATTCCCTTCAGTCTGGCCCTGTTTTATTTATGTGATCTTAACATCTACACTTTAGTTAAAGCACTCAGGCCTACCAACCAGTTTATTTTAGATGTTTCTAGATTCAAAATGAAATCCAGAGGTGATCGGGCTTTTGAAATAGCTGCTTCAAAATTGTGAAAAAGTTTACCTCTTTATATTTGGCCTGCTGAGACTGTTTCTTTTCTGCCTCCTTTCTTTTCCTCAACTTTTCTCTGCAGGTTATTTTTCGATGCAGATCAAAACAAAAACCCAGGCAAACTAGGTAACAAAATGAACCTTGTGACATAAACCTTTTCAAAAGTAAAAATAGATATTATCTCTGAGACAGCAATGGATCATCTAGAGGGATTTCCATGAAATCTCAGAACATAAAAAAGACATTCATTCATTCTAGTGTAGAACACCAACTACAAGAGATACTGTATATTAAAAGCAATTGGTGATGAAATGATGGGAAGCAGTGTATAAATTTATTTTTTTAATTTAACTTTTTTAATTTCCACCCCTGCCCATGAGTATGCATCTCTGAAACCCAGTAAGTGACAAATTATCAAAAAGATTCAGTACCAGCCTTGAATATCGCCCAGTCCTAAAGCTCAGCGCGCACCCTGCACCCCTCTCTGAAGTGCACGTAGTGTTTGAGTGCGCAGGTTACAAGTGTGCAAAACAATTGAGAATTGGGACAGTACAGATTACATCATCGACTTGCGCCTCTATCGTAACTGTGACATCCAACAAAAAAAAGTTTTTGTAAATGTTCATTCATCAAAAAAGATTGGGGGAATAAAACTGTGACATCCATCATGGCACTTTTTTATTGAACCAATCACCATGAATATTAACTAAGTAAACCAACTGACTTAGAAATCTTTAGTAAAAGTAAATAAAACAATAAAAATAACAAAAACAACATCAACAATATATATTTAAACTACGGGAAAATAAATAAAAAACAATAATAATTAAATGAAAACGGGTTTAAATCAGATTAAATT